TATCACGTCTTTTTCTTCTATATTCTAGTTTTGGTATATTTAATGCCTCTAACCTCTCCTTGTAGCTCTTGCCCTTCAGTTCTGGGAGCCACTTAATAGCATGTCTTTGCACCTTTTCCAGTTTATTGATGTGCTTCTTAACCCTCAAACCGCGCATATCATATATAAATGATATCAGTGACAAAACCGAAACCGCGCACATCATTTATATATGATTTCGTGTCTAGCGCTATAATTTAAACGCCCCGCCTGGGATAGAGGCAGCTATAGTACAGCCACGACCGATAGTTGCCAGATGCCACCTAGAAAAAAATCCAGGCCAACATTCTTGGGTGTTACAGCGTCAGTATTGAGCAAGCCACCAAGGCTGGCGCACGCAGCACGAGCTCACAGCACCGCTGTTCAGCTTGTGACCACAGCATCGCCTACAAATACCATAATATAAATGATACTGCTATTATTTAGCAGTGATAGTATTACTGAAGCCCCCTGACTGTGATAAAACTGACCAGGATTCTAATAATAGCAGGATTGTGGTGATATTTAGCGCTGTGCTCCATGGAGGGAGGAGTAATGCTGTGGGAGGGAGGGTTGTGGCGTCGTTTTCTGACTGTGTGTGGCCACCATTTATTGACTGCACTCACCATACCAGTTTAGTGGTTCACCATGGTGAACACAAATGTAGATACTTATATATAACGTGTGTATAGTGTGAGATAACAGCGAGAGGAGTAGGTTGGGAGCCGCCATTTTGGTGAGGGAGGAGCGTCGTCTGCACGACTTGGCATGGTGTTTACTGATGGCCACTATGGTCTTTGGGCACCATACCAGCTTATTTGTTCAGGTATGGTGAATAAAACAGGTAGATATTTATATATAATGTGTGTATATAGCGTAATAATACCACAAACAATATTGTTGGATGACAAATATTAGTGCGTCTGGCCTTGAGGGCGGCCGCCGATCAGCTGACTGTGTGAGTAGCTACATCTTATGGCCTTCACTCACCATACAAGCTTAGATGTACAGTTATGGTGAACAAAACATGTAAATACGTATATATAACGTCTGTGTATAGTGAATAAATACAAAAGAGTATTGTGGGAGGTGAATGAGGATGAGTGAGGTGGTGTTGAGGGAGGGAGTGGCAGTGAGTGGCTCGCTGGTGTTTGGTGTTTCACTCCTCGTTGCTTTTTGACTCACAAGACCAACTTAGTAGTTCGTTATGGTGTACAAAACATGCAAATACTTATATATAACCTGTGTATATAGTGTAACAACAGCAAAACTATTTGTTTATTGTTTTATGAACATAATAATTGAATCACTAATATGCACACCATAATTTTGAGTACAGCGATGGTTCACACATTTTATAATATAAATATACCACAATTCACTGTATGGAATAATATTACTGCAAAAAAACTAAGAAAAAATCAGAGACATTGAAATAATTAGGTAATAATATATTTGTGGCAACTGCCGTCTGACAGCTCGGGCGGAGTAGACCTCGTCTGGCGAAGGCTCTGCCAACGCCCCTTTTTTGCCACACTTCCCTACCCTATTGCGGCTAAAATATGCCACCTACGATTTTGTTGTTATTTTTTCCGTGATCAGGGAACAAAAATGAACACTTCTATAAGACGAAAGAATTTTTTGGAATTTTTTTTTTTGTTGCGCCTGTGGGTGTGAATTCCATTTGGGCCCCTAGCGGTTTGAGGGTTAAGATATGGGCACCACACAACCGCTGCATATTCTAGCTTTGGCCTAACAAAAGTCGTGAACAATTTCTTTAGTATATCGCCATCCATGTATTTAAAAGCAATTCTGAAGTTAGAAAGCGTGGCATAAGCTCCTCGCACAACGTTCTTTATGTGGTCCTCAGGTGATAGTTTTCTATCTAGAACCACTCCTAGATTTTTCTTTATCAGAATTCTTTACAGATTTCTCACATAATTTATAGGTTGTGTGGGGTCTATGTTCTCCTAATCCATATTCCATAACATGGCATTGATTTACATTAAATTCCATTTGCCAAGTGGTGCTCCATATACTTATTTTGTCTAGGTCTTCTTGAAGGATATAACAATCATCTAAGTTTCTTATCCTTCCTATTATCTTAGCATCATCAGCAAACATGTTCATATAATTCTGTATTCCATCTGGTAGATCATTTATGTAGACACTGAACATTACCGGTGCAAGAACTGAACCCTGTGGTACTCCACTTGTGACATTTCTCCAGTCCATTAATAAATTGGAGTAATTTGGGGATTCAAACCAGTATTCCATTCACTGGGGCTCTAGGAGACTCGAACCATGTTCTGTGTGAGGCAGAAGCTCTATTGATCGAGCTATTGAGTAGTTACTCGATTGCTTTTCAGTTACTTACAGTAACTGTATACCATGTATATACATGGTATATATATACTTGGTGTACAGGTTCCTGGGCCTATTAGGCTCTTATCATATTTACATTTGAAACTGTGCATGGAATCTGCCTCCATCACATCACTTTCCAATGCATTTTGAGATATATACAAGAGTTGTTACATTCTTGTACAGCCACTAGTACGCGTAGCGTTTCGGGCAAGTCCTTAATCCTATGGTCCCTGGAATACGATCCCCGGCCGCGAAGAATCGTTTTTTCATCCAAGTACACATTTTACTGTTGCGTTAAACAGAGGCTACAGTTAAGGAATTGCGCCCAGTAAATCCTCCCCGGCCAGGATACGAACCCATGACATAGCGCTCGCGGAACGCCAGGCGAGTGTCTTACCACTACACCACGGAGACTGTAAAGACATTTCATTTGTTAACTACTCTGACACTAAAAAAAAAAGTTCTTTCTAGTGTGTCTATTGCTCATTTGGTGCTCAATTTCCACCTGTGCTCACCTAATTGTGCTTGCGGAGGTAGAGCTTTGGCTCTTTGGTCCCGCCTCTCAACCATCAATCAACTGATGTACAGATTCCTGAGCCTACTGGGCTCTATCATATCTACATTTAAAACTGTGTATGGAGTCAGCCTCCACCACGTCACTGCCTAATGCATTCCACCTGTTAACTACTCTGACACTGAAAGTTCTTTCTAACGTCCCTGTCCCCCGTGTCCCCTAGTGTGTGTGTGTGCCCCTCTTGTGTTAAATAAATTGTCTTTATCTATCCTATCAATTCCTCTGAGAATCTTTTTTATGGTGATCATGTCTCCTATAACTCTTCTTTCTTTCAGGGACTTGAGGTTTAGTTTTCGTTGTCTCTCCTCATAGCTCATACCCCTCAGCTCGGGTACTAGTCTGGTGGCAAACCTCTGAACCTTTTCCAATGTTTGTCTTGTGCTTGACAAGATACGGTCTCCATGCTGGATCTGCATACTCCAGAATTGGTCTGGCATATGTGGTATACAATGATTCCTTACACAAATTTCTAAAGGCCGTTCTTATGTTGGCCAACCTGGTACATACTGCTGATGATATCCTCTTGATTTGGGTTTCAGGGGACAGGTCTGGCATGATATCAACCTCCAGGTCTTTCTCTGATTCTTGAATTCCATCTCACAAATGATACCCTGTATCTGGCCTCCTGGGGCCAGATTCACGAAAGCACTTACGCAAGCATTTACGAACGTGTACATCTTTCCTCACTCTTTGACGGCTTTGGTTGCATTTATTAAACAGTTTACAAGCATAAAAACTTCCCATTCAGCTGTTGTTATTGTTATAAACAGCCTCCTGGTGCTTCCGAGCTCATTAATTGTTTGATAATTGGAAACAAAGCTGTCAAAGATTGAGAAAAGATGTACAGGTTCGTAAGTGTTTGCGTAAGTACTTTCATGAATCTGGCCCCTGCTCCCTACACCTATCTTCATTACTTTATACTTGCTCAGGTTAAACCCTAACAACCATTTGTTGGACCATTCCTTCAATTTGTCTAGGTCATCTTGAAGCCTCATGCTGTCCTCTGTCTTAATCCTTCTCATAATTTTGACATCATCGGCAAACATTGAGAGGAATGAGGCTATACCCTCTGGAAGATCATTTATGTATACAGTATCAGAAACAGGATAGGTCCGAGTACAGAATCCTGTGGGACTCCACTGGTGACTTCACGCTACTCTGAAGAGTCAATCCTCAGAGTAACTCTGCTTCCTATTACTTAAGTACTCCCTTATCACTGGAGCACCCTACCAGTTACTCCTGCCCGTTTCTCCAACTTATAAACAATCTCTTATTGGGTATTTTCCGACAGTCCAAGAAAATGCAGTCTGCCCATTTTCTCTTTCTTGCTTAATCTTTGTAACCTGGTTGTAGAATTTTCTTTAACCTGTGAGGCAAAGTTTGCCATCCCTGAGCTCATGTTAGGCAGTGTGTCACATAGTTCCTTCTCTCCAGATGTACTACTAGGTTTTTCTCGCAATCTTGTCCATCACCTTGCATGGTATACAAGTTAAGGACACTGGCCTGTAGTTCAGTGCCTCTTGTCTGTCACCCTTTTTGTATATTGGGACTACATTAGCTGTCTTCCATATTTCTGGTATGTCTTCCGTTTCCATAGACTCTCTCTCTCACATCATTGTGTGGGGGCAACCTAAGTGCTACTGCACACTTTTTCAGTACCTATGGCGAGATTTCGTCCAGACCAACAGCCTTTCTCACATCCAGTTCCAACAGATGCCTCTTACTTTCGAACCATTCCAAGGCTGCCTAGTTTATTGTGATCTCTTATGAGTTCTTCACACACCTCTTTGTCATTCTCTGTGTACCTGTTCTCACCTGTTCTCAGTTTCATCACCTGTTCTTTCACTGTAGCTCAGTGTTCATATATAAACCTGTGACAACCATAAGGTCACCATTCTTACAAACAAAATACTGATTACAATTGAAAGATTTCCATGCACTGTATAATGCTGCAAATGCTACATAATATGTTAAATAACATTTACAGTGACGAGCAGTTTCTGTATATGTAACCCAAGGTAATGAAAACCTGATTTCGCAGGACACTGTATTGTGCCAAAGGCAATTATGAGTTCGGCATCTCGCGAGTGATCAAGAGTCTCGAGCCTTACAACAAGAAGCTGGGAACAGACACTTGGTCAGTATCTTATGAATACTTTAGTTACTGGCTAATTCTGGCCACATCGAGGCTGACTGATATTTTTGGTGTAAATTACCACTTTACTGATACGATGCATATGGTACTGTATAGTATTCTAAACTAATGAATACATAGGTTAGAATAATGTATCATTCATTCATCCACAAAATCATTTGGGTGTTATATAATTCATGATTGAAAGAGAGAAAATAGTACATATTTATTTTATAAACCTTATGGATAGCAGGGTTATTTTTCTTAAAAAAATTGAAAAGACAAAATTATTAACTCAAAAGTACTTAGTCTCATAAAATAAAAGTCTAGAAATCAAAGGTACTGAGGAAATACCGCCTATGTTTTACCAACTCTCTACATCGTAGGGAGCTTGTTCAACCTCACAAGCTGGCTGTGAATGTTAAAATAATATACAGTACATAATAATAATAATACAGTACCTTATAAAATATATTATTATTATCATGGGGGATCCAATTCAAAATACAATATATCAATATACAGTGGAGCCTCGCTTTTCGAATTTTTTGGTTTTCGAGCTCAATATCTTTGAAAAATTTGACTTGGTACTCATAGTTTGCCTCAGTGTTTGAGTTTGTTGATATACATATGTGCTGACCGAGCACATGGTGCACTGCAGCTTACCAGTGACTCCCGCCTAGTGACGACCGTGCTTGAATTCCTTGTGAAGAATTTTATTGTTTTTGTGCTTTTTTGGTTTCTGAACATAAAAGTTCTTATTATATATCATGCCATGTATTCCAAGAAAATCAGTGGTAAAGTTCAACCTAAGAAAATAGTTGTAAGGATGATGATAGAGGAAAAACAAGAGATCATTCTTTGTGAGACAATGTGATATCTCACCACAGACAAGTGTTAAAAATTAGGGGGGGGGGGAAAGTGTCTATAGACAGATTCTTAGTAAGACATGCAAGCAGTGAGCCACAACCAGGTCCTAGTGGTATGCCTGCAAAACATAAAAGAGAGAGAGTACCCTACAATTGTTATCACTGTGGTTATAATGGAAGGGGACTCCCCTTCTAAACACTAACACCTCTCCTCCTCCCCCCTCCCTCACTGCCTTCCATACACTAACAAGAGTCCTCAATAAAGGTAAGGTACCTATGAGTATTATTCTGTATTAAATGTATTTTTTAGTTAATATTTTTGTGGGTGTGGAACGGATTAATTCAATTTACATTATTTCTTATAAGAAAATTCGTTTCGGTGTTGAATTTTTGCTTTTCGAATAGTCTCTGGGAATGGATTAAATTTTAAAGCTGAGGTGCCACTGTATGTATTTACAGCTTTCATCAAGCAACCAACCATGCACAGCATGATAAATAACTGAGAAAATGCTGCAGCTTGAACATCACTTGATAAAGAAAAGAAGAAGGACCGGCCAAGGAGCCAGGCCCAGGAAGTTACGAATCCTCAAAAGAAGGCACCGAGTTCTCCTGTAAAGGACAGGGTAGCAAGTCCCACACAGACGATGGGAGAAGTAGACAGATCTAGCCTGCGCTCTGCTCAGTCGGCAATGCCCTCCGGGGCAAAAAACTGACCCTCACCCTCCAACATATTTGACACCAGAACCTGTTAAGTCAAATGATGAACAGCCACTGTTGGGGAACCAGAAGTGAGCAGCCCCTTTCTGGTTGGTCAGACTCCTGAATCTTCTTTGACATGGATAGTGTTATATAGCCATACTGGCTTGACAAAAAAGAGCTAATTATATCTCATGCTGTGAAGACATGCCAACAGAAGAAAATTAATAAAAGTCACTTTTATGCAAACACCTTGTTGTGACCCAAACTATACTTGCCCCTATACCTGGGAGTTGTTCTACTTCCCAAGCCAGGACTAACCAGCCACTTTTGAAACATTCAGCACATATACTATTGTGTGCTTACCCGGTGTTTGCACATTTGTAGTGTCATCCAGTGGGGATGTTTTCCCACATCTAAATGTGAATACAAATACAGTGGTACCTCAGTTTTCATATTTAATCTGTTCCCAGAGACGGTACGAAAACCGAAATGAATTTTCCCATAAGAAATAATGTAAATCAAATTAATCCGTTCCACACCCCAAAATATATTAACTAAAAAATACATTTTATACTAAATAATACTCTTAGGTGCTTTACCTTTATTGAGGACTCTTGTTGGCATATGGAAGGCAGTGAGGAAGGGGGGGAGGAGGAGAGGTGTTAGTGTTTAGAAGGGGAGTCCCCTTCCATTATAACAGCAGTGATGACATGTGTGGGGTACTCTCTCTCTCTTATGTTTTGCAGGCATACTACTAGGACCTGGTTGTGGCTCACTGCTTGCTTGCCTTACAAAGAATCTGTCTATAGACACTTGTTTTTTCCTACGTTTTAACACGTGTCTGTAGTGAGACATCACATTGTCTCACTATGAATGATCTGTTGTTTTTCCTCTATCATCATCCTCACAACCCATGTTGTGATATATAAGAACTTTTATGTTCAGAAACCAAAATAAAACACAGAAACAATTAAATTCTAAACAAAGAATTCAAACGCGATCATCACCAGGAGGGAGACACTGGTAAACTGAAGTGCCACATGCTCGGTGGACCCATACGTGTATAAACATACCGAAAACCGAATCAAATAATGAGTACTGAATCAAATTTTTTGAAGAAATTGAGTATGAGAACCGAAAAATACGAAAACCGAGGTTCCACTGTACAGTATTTGTTTTCTCTAGTATGTACTTGTATATGCTAATACTGTATTAACAGTTATCTTTATTTCCAGGTATTATGCCAAGAGGTGTTTTCTCTCCCTCATTGAGAACTTGGCCAAGCACATGATAACTGTGAAGGACTCGGTTATTCAGGAGTGTATACAGTTCCTGGAGCACTGTGAAGGTGAGACATTTCACACTAACATGGTAGCTTATCCTGTAACTACATTCAGATAATTACATTTAGATAATTACCTTCTCACCGTGTCTTACATGGACGGTACTCACTGTGCAGTAGTACTTAGTCTAAGCTGCTTGCTCACAGCTACCAAGCACAAGGAGAAAGGCAGACATGAAGGAAGCAAGGGAGGAAAGGAAGAATGGTAGGGAGAAAGGAAAGAAGTGGAGGAAGGGAGAAATGAATGAAGGTAAGGAAGGAGGGAGAAATGAATGAAGTTAGGGAAAAATGGAGGAAGAAAGGGAGAATTGAAAAAGGGAAGAAAGGAAATAAGAATTTTAGGGAGAAAAGAAGGGAAGGAGGGAGAAAAGGGAAAGTGGGTTCAGGTTCCTGGCAAACTAAAGTAAATCCCAGTTGGTTTTATTCCAGTTTTGGACTTGGTTGTGCCTTATTTGGGACTCTTGGTTGTTGTGGCTGTCCATGCCCCCAAAAGCTTTGCTCTGTTGGCATCTTTATCACCACCAAGTGACTCGATAGTTTGTCGAGTGGTTGTGCAGGAGCTTGAACTTTGCATGTGTCGTTTTCTCACTGGGCCAAATTTAGCTCCGAGCGTTGTACTCTTCCACCTCTCCTGTGGCTGGTGGGTTTGGGCCTCGCCCACCCTTCATCTCCTCTTGCTTCTCTGGCTTTCTCTTCAGGCCTTTCAGGGTTCAGTTCCATGGCAGCATCTTTCCCCATCACTCGGTGTGTTCACAAGCGCCTCATATCAGGGTTGGAGCTTCATGATCAGTGCTTACCCGACTACCTAGGGTCAGTAGTTGGGTCTGTTCCTTCGAATGCATAGTACAGTGCATGAGTTTGTGATTGTGTGCATGCCCTGCAGAGGATTTAGTTTCCAGCATGCTCTGTGCTCCGGCTCCACTCCACCTGCTCCCTTGTGGTTCATTGTCTAAATCATGGGGGATTCGCTTCAGTCCCTGCTATTGTGGAGTTGGATGCTTCGTGTAGCTCAGTTTCTGGCTTCTCAGGGTTTAGTTCTCTTGTGTGGTTCACATGCAGGTTCTCTCTTTTCCCAGTTCTATAAAGTGGACTGTCAATGACATGTCAGGATGGAACCATTGCCTTCTCTCCTATATGGCTCCATTCCATGATTGCAAGGCTCTTGCAGTAGATGCCTTTTGGCTGGACTGGTCGAGACTGGTGTTGTCCAGACTGGAGTTGTACTTGGGGAGGGTTTCTAGCACTTCTGAATCCGTCTTTCAGCAGATCAGCCTGGCAATGTACCTTGATGGTTAGACCTATGTTGTACATGTCTGGAGTTTTTTTTTTTTTTTTTGTATGTGCAGCTGTTGCCATTTGTATGGCAAGTAGGAAGCTAGGTTGTTGATGAACCACCATCTTCACAGCAGCCATATGAAGCTGCCTGGCATTCATTTTGCCTCTCTGTCAATTCATTGTCTTTCTTCAGTTACACTTGGTGCCTTTTGATACATTGGTTTCAGTGATCCTGTCCATTTTGTCTTAGTTGTTTCTCGATTGGCATCTGATGCCTAACACTGTCTTGTCGTTAAGTACTGGTGGAACTGCTGTTGCTTGCGTTCAGTATTTGGTACTTCTTTGGCACCATTAAGCAGGATGTCTCATGTTTTTTTTTTTTTCATGTCTGACTTGCTGATGCTTGACCTGGTCAAGCCGTCTCAGTCCTGGTCTCGTTACTGGGTTTTGATTTTCATCTTCCCACCTCATTTCACAGTTTCCACTTTAGCTCGTGATGTCTTACTGAAGGTGGTGTTCTTGTTCACCCTTGCCTCTGGCTACCATGTTGGTGAGCTTCATGCTCTTCTCTGGATGGAGAAGGGAGGTTTGTTCTTCTGGCCCTGGTGGGCATTTTATTTATTAGCAGCCGTCTCCCTTTCTGGCAAAGAATAAGTTGGCTAGCTTCCGGATGCTTTATTAATACTTAGTTGGTCTGGCTGGGAGTGCACCATTTGTTGTGTCTGATGGTGGCTCTTCACCACTACCTGCAGGCTTGTCCGGGGTGACTGACTGTGGGTTGATCCAGTTGCTTGGTCCCCTGTTCCAAAGCTCACATTTCCTAGGTTGTCCCACAGTGTTATTAAGTCTACCCAGATTATGGTCTACGCTTGGGCCCATTTTGTTTGCAGATATGTTGCTTTAGCAGCAGTCTTCTCTAACATATCCTGAGCTGATATTGGAGCTTGGGGGTTTTAGCAATCTAACAGGGTCTGGCGGCCTGGTACAGTATTTGGCTAACATTCCTGGTCCTAATCAGTGTTGTGTTACTTTGGTCCGGGTGTCCTGGGCCTGGATTCTCTCCATCTTAATACCTGCCACATCTTCTCCTCCCTGGTAAGTCCCGTGCGTTTTGTTCTCCGTCATTGTTCAGCTTGAGGGAGTCATTGGGGGCTTCCTCCACAAACCTAGCATTGAATATAATGAAATACTGCTTTCTGGCACTGAGGTCAGAGGAACCAGCTGTGGGCTGGGTCTCGGCTGCCTAGTGGAAGCTAGCAGTGTTGTACTAACGAATTTGAGCTCATTTTGAGTGAATCTATTGTTTCATCTTGATAATTTGTAGAGGATAGACTGCAAAATGGCTAGAGTTAATGACACAGTGGACAACCTGAGAGAAGAGCGTTGGAACAGGGAACCAAAGTGACAGTAGATTATTTGTACATTGATCCTGAGGCAAAAACAGAGGCACAAAAGTAGCGGTGAAAAACTGCTTCTGAACGTCATGGGATAACGGTTCGAATGGAGCCAGATCATGGAGTCTGGAGAAATCCAAACTCTGCAGCACCTGCCACATGACCATGAGCTCCCAAACTGTTAGAGGCACAGCCTCTAACGAAGGAGTGGAGACCAATGGCCCTGCCCAGTCTGGTGACCAATAATCACAAACCCCCAACCAAGAGCCGAGGCGTTCGTGAAGACATGGCGAGGGCAGAGGATGGTGTCAGGCAACCAAATCTCGAAAAGCCTGAAGAGGAAGCCGGTGGTGCAACAAGCGGTGAAGGACCAATAAAGCCCACACCCTGTAAGTGCAGCAGTGGCAAAAGGGGCTGGCTCATAGAACCCAGAACAACCTCTGAAACCAAATCCTGCACAGGGGATACACCAGAATGGCAAAAGTCGGGCTCCCACACAACTGCTCAAGCAACCGAGTCACCTGGCTCTGACTCAACACCAACAGGTGGTGCTGCTGTAAGCAGGTCGAGGCCATTGGAGGCAGGGAGAAGCAATTCAGACTGAGAATCCTAACTGAGACATAGTGAAGTCCAAACCTGGGACACAACCAACTGGAACTTGTGCCAGTTTACAAGGAACCCAAACCCAGCAAACTGGGAATAAACCAGATCCCAGGCTAACACACGTTCTGGTAGAGAGCACACACCAGCCTGTTGTCGGGGTAGGCCAAAACCTGAACACCAAGTAAACAAAAACAGGCCACCATAACCTGAGGCCAAGACGAAAACATGTGTGTAGCTAGATTGAGCAGAATGACCCAAAAGCTGTAAGCCTACTGCCCCACGATAAAGCCTAACTAATCCCTGAATGTATAGAGGCGTGCCAATACACATCCCGGAGGTCATCCAAGCTCCTGCCACCAGCACAAGATGGACCTAGGAGAATGTGGTCATCTGAAAGAAGATACAAGGAATAAACAGATTCAATCTGGAAAGATTGCAAATGAACTAGAGGTTCGGCAAATCCCGTTTCAGAACCGGAAAGAGGCAGGAAACCCACTAAACAGATGCGGTCATTTTGACCGCACCCAAAGACAACCTGATGAGGAAACCTGCCTACAAAGGTCCGAACCCCCCTACCAACTCCACTGCAGGCCAAAATAAAAGACCTGAAAAGCCGACAAATTGTGGGACCAGGCATTGGCAAACCGAGCTAGCCGCCCTCCCCATGGCCTCATCAAAGGGGTAAACTGACAAAGGGCTTGAACGAACCTGCAAGCCCCTTTTCCAAAAGCAGCAAGCATGGCACTGACCAGACAAAGGAAGACTGGCCAAGACAGGTGCTTGCAAATTGGCTCCACAGATGGCCTACCCCAGCCACCACCAGGCACCACCCCAGCCCTACCAAACTGCCTACGAGACCAAGAATGACCACCATGAAGATACAAGAGCTTTGTAATGGGCCAACAAGCAGTCACTGCAGACAATATGAATTGGGCCACAACATCCACTGGGAATGGGAGAGAGGAGCAAGGGTCCAAGCTGAATCCAGAGGCTGGACCAACACATCCTGTTGATACGTGAGTCGGGCGGCAAAGAACATGGCTACCACCCACCACACCTCTTGAAAATAGTAGCATACAGCATGGGGAGCACAGTCAATGCCACAGCAGCAGAGGCCAAGATCCTTGCAAGAGGCATCCTGCCAAGTGCTCCAACATCCTCTACGAGCCAGTCAAAATGTAGTTCAAGGAGGCCCAAAAAGCACAGGACAGTTCCCAGGTACAGATGGGCATGAAGGTCGTCCACCTATAGCGCCGCTGACAAGAGGAGGAAACTGGGCATGGAGCTACACGAGACCCATGTCCTGAGAAAGAGCAGGAGCAAACAGGCACTTGTTGAGAGGCTCAAAAGATGGGCTCCCCCCCCCCCCCCAGACACTTGTAAAATGGTCGACATCTCATGCCACTCAAGTGTGCAGAAACGACAAATGCTGCACCAGCCCCAAGCAAAAACATGGGATTGTCTGCCAGCCAGGATGGCTCCAGAACTTCGTAATCCATCCAAAAAGGAGAAGACTCGTACACAAAAGAGGCTGTCTATCAATGAGGCATAATCCGGATCACACAGGATCATTGTTTGCACCAACCACTATAATGACTTGTATATAAAGTTTAGCTTTTGGTATTATTAATGTAAATGTTGTTCTTAGTTAACAAAAAACAAACTAGTATTTTAATTTTTGTTTCATTTGTGTTTATAAATATGTTCAATTGAGCTTTAGTAAATGCTTATACAGTACTTTAAGTGTGTGTAAAGTTTTCCCACACGTTTTTGTGTGGGTAGTGTCCCAGCACCCCACAAGAACAGAGGGGCTAGACCACACACACAGAGGGTGTAATGTGTGCTTGTGGGATGCCCACCTCACTGTGCAAGGGTATTTACCCTGTTTTTTTGTGTGACTGGATAACTGTTGTTAGTCTGGTGAGTGAGAAGTTATTCCTTGGTAGTGTATTGTCCCATTTCCTGTCTCTTTTAATAAATGTAAAGCACGCATTCAGATTGTTTAGTCCCGCCAATTCAAAAATATGGTACTGGCTCCACATGGTTACTCTAATGTTTGAGGTGTTTATAAATAACACTTGTTCTATATTTCTGTTTTAAAGTAATGTACCTATACTGTAAGTAAGGAAGTAAAAGACAGGTTTCAATAGTTCATACAAAATATTCTGTGCCTTCCCCTTACAACACCTGGGATAGATAAGTGGAATCCAATGGAGAGGCTCCAAGGAAAGAAGGGGCTGGCTGAAAGGAATAGCCAGAACTCTCGGAGGTACTGGAAAGCTCGACTACCTTGGAGCCCAAATCGAAAGGGGGCAGACACCAGAATTGATCGAGCCATAGCCTAAGCTAAACTCTGCGCTGACCCCAAAACCTTCAGATGCTTCCAGAGCTGACCAAGCCACACCCAGAGCTAAGCCTTGCTGCGACCCCAAACTCTTCAGATGCTTCGGGGCCAGAAGTAGTAGGGAAGATCAGAGGAAGGGTGAACCATGCCTGAAGGAATAGGAAGAGGATGCACAGGCAGAGCCAATGTTGACTTAACCAACACCTCCAACTCCAGGTCCCTAAACATCAAACAGAGCAGCTCCAGGGCATCCAAATGGGCACACAACCTAGACCACTACAACAAAGAAAACATGACACAGCGGTTGCTACCTGATGCGCCCCATCTGGAGGGTCAGAAAGAAGAGTAACATGATGGAAGCAAACCCTATATGACTCAGGGTTGAAGGTGTCACCGACCCAACAGGCAGCACAACGGAGGCAAAAGGAATGTGGGTCACCATGTGGCATGAATAACTCAACGCTCAATTCAAAAGCGGGTTTGCAGGGGATATCCATAGGACTACCAAATCTGCAGGGTTAGTGACCCTGTAGAAAGCCCAGGCACTGGGACACCACACCAGACCTAGATAATTGTACAGGTTCTCTTTAAAACAACAGATATAAATAAGCCAACACAACTAAACAAATGCTACTGTGAAGGCCAACCTTGTCTTGCTGAGTACAGCTGCAAACCCCCTGTGTGCCCTGCCAGCAAAAATCACTCCTAACCCAGAGTTAAAACAGAAAACCAAAGAAACTGGCTCACCTAGGGCAAGGGCCACCACAAGCAAGAAGGACCTCAATGGGAGTGATCCCCAACCACTCCATTCCAGGGAAGATAACCCTGGCAGTGTAAGGGCAGCACTAAGGAATGCACAGGTAAGATAACCCTGAGCACATGCAGCTCCAGGTACTCTCAATTCCAAGCTCAGAACTGTACAAAACTATACAGGAACAACCACTAAGGCAAAACTGAGCAAAAACTTGGCTGAAAGCCAAACACCCGAGCCAGTGACAGAGAGGGCGACCACGGCACACAACTACCATCAGAATAGAACCGATAGTTGCGCTGCTGGCTGGCTGCCACCCTCCCTTCACACAAATAATGTGGAGGTGGGGCAGACGAGCTTGCACTAGTTTTATGAAGTTTTGATTGTTTACTCTGTTGGGGGGGGGGGTTATTTTGGTGATTCTCAAGGCTACAATCTTGTTTGAAGCCTGCAGTGGTCCGTTTTGTTTCGCCGACTGTATGTGCCTTCCTCGGTGATGGCAGACATGAATACATATCTAAAAAATTTATAAGTGTCACTGCTCCCTGTGCCTCTGCAAGGGAAGACCAGGTTATTGGCTCGTGGTGCCTCAGTAGGCCAACAGAACTGTGACAATGATGGGACATGACAGTATGGCACTCTATCAGAGATAGAAGCTTCAGGGAGCCACAAGGGTTACCACCCCTTCCCCCAGAAAAACATTTGAAACCATATTTCCTCATTCTTACTTTTTCAATAAGATTCTTTTTTTCTGGTAACTCTTATTAACATATTGTATTCTTATTCAGTGTACGGAAGGAATGTGAAGGGGGTAATAGAACACCCACTGGAAGAAATGGCCATCCATCCTGGGAAGAACACAGTGACGTATGAATCCAGGTTGCTGAAAGCTCTACTTCTACAAATTCAACGCATGTAGGATTTTTTATAAAAACAAATCTCAGTAATGTGTTTCATGTATGTTCCTAGTCACCTATATTTATACAGTACTTTAGTAAATTACTATAACACACCATAGTGGCCTTTAACATATCATGGGATCAAGTCTGGTACAATTTCTACACCATTATCACACCTCAATAAATAAATAACTTAATCAGTGTAACGTATTACTTTATACTGTACAGTACTGTAGAATTTTGCACTTAATTTTTATGAAACTAAATTAAAAAAAAAAGCTTTGATCCTACTAATATCAATGCAAATATATAATTCATATACACACTTTTTTTATTATCCTGTTTTTCACTTTTTTAACAGAAAGGCATCAACCAAGAAAAAAGTTAAATAGCACAGTAAAAAACTTTAGAGATATTAAACAAAAATCACGATGACCTTATTACCTGGTACCAGCTTCCCATTAGTGGGTGTTTCTCCGGGAGGATCTCTCTCACAGCACATACCTCTCACTGTTTCTAGTTGTGTGACATCTCTCACAACTTGAGAAACCTGGCGAGATATATGACTCGCATGACTCAAAGAGACCAGGTGAGATATATGACTAACACCCACTCATATATCACAGATAAACACCCACACTCCACTCACATCATGAGACCAGGCATATACTGTTAATGAACTGCCATATCTGCCTCTGTGTAATCTTGCAGGCCAGATGTTTGCAGCTAGCCTCACCTAAATTTATAGGGAAAATCCTCTAGGATACGGGACAAACATAGGCTGGTCGGGGTAGGCCTTAGTTAAATGACTTAGGAAATATTAGTAATTATTGACAATTAGTAATTATTGAAAATATAAGGAGGACTGGTTCCAAATCTGCAAACAGAAATACTGTAACACCACATGAGACCAGAAGGCATGGCAGGATGTGCAAAATGGCCCCACTGAAAAGCAGAGGTGCAATAGGTACTCTGAGAGAAAACTCAATCAACATCAGAGGGCCAAGACTTTTCAACACTCTTACCATACACATACGGGGTATAACTGATCAGCCTCTCGCAGTGTTCAAAAAATAATTTGACAGGCACCTTCAAAGGATACCTGATCAACCAGGCTGTGACTCGTACGTCAGGCTGCAAACAGCCACACCGAACAGCTTGGTTGGATCAGACCAGCAACCAGGGGGTCAACTGGTAGGTAAACTAATACCTCTTAGTTCTTATAATCACTAAGCGCACATTTATTTTTATATAATGGTACAATCACAGCAGCTGTTAAATCTTCTGGGAAAACCACCACTTCCGTATGTTTTCTGCCAAGTTTTCATAAGCCATTCCTTTCCCCATTTTTTCACTGCATTTACTCATTTCTGAACCTATCTCACTAATACCTGAAACTTTACCACCTTTCAGAGACTACAATGACGAGTCTATCTCTTCCTTGGTAATAATAAACAGATGCCAAAATTGTGTTGCATACAGGTAATGAAATGCCTCTTTCTGGGGGTGGGTGTCTCAGTGGCTTCCATATATCAGCAGCCCTGGGAGTGTTTAATATCCACTAGACCAAAACCTGTCCCCACTGCTCAGGTGCAGGGAGCAAGAGATTCATGATTACCCTCACTAAACAAACAAATCACACAGAAAAGAAGTAACGCAAAAAGGACAGCTGCAAGGTTCCGAAGGTAAACAAACAACTCGGCCAATGATCCACCCAGTAGTTAGGTCACACCTCCCCTAGTTACAGCTGGTCACAACCAGGTGGCAGCACCATGGAAGCTGTCAACAATGTTCAGTCTGGAGCCTAAGAAATGACCATCTGATGCACCTGATAGGGAGGGAAGGTCCTGGGAGCCACTGAGGCATCCTCAAAATGAGGTGTTTCTTTACATTCAATATTGGTTTTCTGGAGAGGCCAAAAGGTAGCTCCCTGTTGCTAGGGAAGAAAGACAAAGATTCCCCCTGAAGGGAATAGACCTGAAAGGGATACCCTACCCAGGGCAACACAAGCTTGAAGGGGACCAGGTAACAAGCCGCCAGGACTTCCAAAACCCCCGAGCCCAAAAATCAGCCCAAAACCAGATCAACAATGCATCACCCTGAAGCAACCCGGGTCACACACAAGTGGTGATGAAGTCACACCCAGACACAACAACTGATACACTACCTCGAACAAACCAAGAATCATTGACTAAAGGAAGCCAACCTTCCCAATTTTTACAAGAAAAGCAGAAGACTGTATACAAAGACACCACCCACCAGAGCTGAAAGAGCAAAATCCCAGCTTTTAGGAAAGCATGAAGGTCCCCCAATCTAAAATCCGAAGAAAGGGCCAACAAAATCAATGCATTGAAAAAGGAATTATGGACCAAAGGGATGACCAAGAACTGAAGAATCATCATCATCTTCTCCGGGGACCAAGATGGCTCTGGGTCAATCTAACAAGAGCCATGTCGCAGACCTGCAAGGGGGGACTACCAGTGCCTGAAGGCAGCTAACCAAGCATGACACCCAGGTACTGGGACTGCTCTCCAAAAGAACAGAAATTAAACGCAGTCAAAACTTCCAGGCTATACATGATGATCGTGAGGTGCCACATTAGGAAGTACCTGAGCTCCAGTGTGCCCCAGCACAACAAAAACAGAATGCCCCCAGCCAAGGGCCCCAAACAGAGGAATCAAAGACCCCTAGAACAGCCCAAGGTGAGGTTTGGCCTGGTCTCTTGGGCAAACTCCTGCAGACACAGAGAAAGAAAACTGTCAGTGCAAGGGCAGCACTAGTGGGCACCCAGGAAAGAAAACCCTGAGCACATGTAACCCTGAAGTGCAACAAAAGCCAAGCCAACACAACAAGCCAGAGAGAAAACATTCATGCGAAGCTAACACTAAAATAATACAAAAACAAGCAAATGATGAATGAAATCCAAGGATGGCTGGCACTTAGCTGGAAGGAGAGGGCCTTGTACAGACCAGAACACTACATGTGGAAGCAACCACCATAACATCAACAACAGAACTGAGAAGTTCGTTGGCTGTGGGCAGGACTGAGCTAACTGTGGGCACTGCCTGGTGGTGGAAATTGGTATTAAAATTTTTTTTGATCTAGTTTGAGGGAATCTCTTATTCAGTGCAAATTATCTGCAGAGTTGTTTGGCAGCTTAAGGCTTCATTTCTTGTTAACCCTCCAGTTGCCTGTAAAGTATCACTAATGTTTTGGATGCTCCCTGCACCTCTGTAAGGGCAAGGGATGAGGGAAAGGGGGGTAGCCGGGTTCAGGCTTTGGGTCCCTGGTTGGCCAAACAGAACTTCCACAACTGGTTTGACCCCATTAACCTAGGGGCAATCTTGGCAAAATAGCTTCACAGAGCCACTAGGGCTTCCCCCAGATAACCACCAGTGCTAAACTTATAAAAACTGAGGAGCCAGAATCAAACCAAAAGGCAAACTTTAAAACAGGAAGCATAAAGTCTCGCAGCAAACCCTAACTAGTTCCCGACTCTTGGAAACACATCACAGAGGTTCAGGGACATTATCAAAGGAAAAAATGTCCAATAAATGTGGTGGACCACAGCTAGAATGGTCATGTGAAACATCAAGATCTATACAGAAAAGAACCAAACCAGAGATTGCAAGTACAGTGGTACCTCGGTTTAAGAGTTTAATCCGTTCCTGGAGACAGCTCGTATTCCGAAAACTCGTAATCCGAAGCTAATGTCCCCATAAGAAATAATGGGAAATGAATTAATCCGTTCCTGACTACCCAAAAACCTCACTTCAAACTAAATTTTATACCTAATTCATCTAAATCTACACTACAAAACTATGTTCAAGTTATTACTTACCCTTGCTGATGACTGCTGATGGCATATGGAGATGGTGAGGAGGAGGGAGGAGGAGAGGTGTTACTGTTTGGAAGGGAAGTCCCCTTCCATTATAACATCAGGCAGTGAGGACCTCTCTGGTGTGCACACTCTGGCACGTTTTGCCTGCATACCACTAGGTCCTGGTTGTGGCTCACTGCTCGATTTTCTCACAACAAATCTGTCCATGGAAGATTGTTTTTCCCTTCTTCGCAAGATGTCTCTGTAGTGAGGCATCACATTGTCATTGAAAAGATTAATGCAATGGCCTACTACAGCTTTCTCTGAGTGAGTCATTTCAATAAAAGTTTGCATTTCTTCCCACATCTGACACCACTTCTTCTTTTCAACATCCTCAAGTATTTGTGGTCTTTGTTTCATGATTGTTCTTACGCCTTTTGCCACGTTAGGACTCATGATGTCCTTTTTCTTGGCAAGTATAGTGCATAGCGTTGACGTGGATTTGTTGTACTGGCTACAAAGTTCAACAACACGTGTACCATTTGCATGCTTCCAAATGATCTCTTGCTTTTCCTCTATTGTCATCCTGACATTCGATTTCTTGGCTTGAACCTTACCACTGACTTTCTTGGGACCCATTGCGAGATATATAATGACACCTTTTATGGTCAAATGACCAAAAATCCAACAAAACACTGAAAATCCTGGAGAAGAATTTAGGCAGGATAGTCACTGGGCGCGAGACACTGGTAAACTGAGTGCCGATCGTCGTGCCACCACGTGCTAGTTCGGCCTGTACGCGTATCAACAAACTCGGATTCCGAGGTAACCCTCGCCTTCTGAGGCAAATTTTTCCGAGCAAATCCTGCTCGTATTCCGAAAAACTCATATACAGGGACACTCGTATTCCGAAGTACCACTGTATAAAGCTGATTAGACCTGTACGGGGACTGAGAATAATCAAGACACCCAGCAAAGAAATGGGGAACCTGACCAACCAAGAGTCCAAAATGCAATGACTGAAAAGAGCAACTGAGGAGCAACATCAGTTCCACATCTGATGCCTGATCAGACAGGAAGGCATCTCCACATGCTAAAAGGATCTGAGCCAAATACCTGATACCAAATACCAATCTGAGCAAATATTGAGCCCTAAGGAATAGAATTGCTCCCTACAGAATCCCAGCAGGAAGCAATGGCTTGACTGTCCCTCATGACAACATATAAGTGGTGATCCCGAGAGAAGGCCTAGGTACAACCACAGATAATTGCAGCTTAGACTCTCAAACATTCCAGAACTCAGAGCAAAGCAGGGAAACACAAGAGATCTATTGAAATAAAACACATGGTCAGCAGGAGGGAGACAAGTCATAGAAACACAATTCCCCAGCTACTCCAACTCCAAATCACTACAAATAAAAAATGGCTGACTCCAGGACAACCACTTGACCATCCAAGCTGCAAAAAACATCCAAACTGGCAAACAAAGCCAAAGCAGTTGCC